ATAACCATCTCCGTCACTGCCAGCCTCAAAACCCTTGGCTCAGAAATACGGAGGTCTCCAATCACTGTGTTCCCTCCATGGTAGCTACCAGCTCACCTAAGAACTCGCTGAGGCTCTGTCTGCATCTCAGTATTGCGAAGAAGCAGAGCCCGGTGGCGGATGGTCCTTTCCTGCTTGGTGAAATTGTCTCTTGGCCCATGGTAGCTGCTTGATAGCAGAGAATGAAAAGGTGCCAAATGAAATTTTCAATTGAATCAAGCATAATTACCTGATTTAATGAAGGAGGAAAGTCAGGCTGTTCTGCAGAAACCCAAAATTTACCCTTTCTCCCCAGAGATGCCTTTCAGCGAGACACACGGAATAAATCCATTTCATATTTTCCATTACCTCCTTCCTTCCTTCGCACTTAGGGAAACCTGCATGAGCGTATTCAAATAACATGACAGAGCAATTCTGATGCGCTTTCTGGATCTTTTAATGGCGAAACTGAGAAATCACAGTGATTTCTCTGATGACACATGGATGCAATAAACAAAATCATAATTTTGTTGAATGATGAAGCAATGACCGAGTGGAAGTGCATCCCTCCTCCCACAGGAGCATTTGTTAGGGTCGCAAAGACAACACTAGAAATCAGAAGCACCGTTTTTCCTCTTTCGGACTCAGGCAGTGAGTGAAAATCGTTTCCAGGCTGTGGTGTCTTCCTTAATTCATTAATCTACTCATGCATTTAGCAGTCTGAAGAGTTTAAACACCTTGCGGGTAGTTATATGCTAAGGAATAAAAAGGAAGCTCCTGCATCCTCAATACACCATGGGACTGCTCCCGTGCCTTGGTCAGACCCTTTATGTTTTTAAAAGGTCGAAGGTTATGCATGTTGACAGTATGATAGTTTGCATTTTTTCACGGAAGAGAAATACTTTCTTGAATTAGTAAAATTCTTAGCATCCCTGTAAGGGTTAGAATCGGTCTATTAAATAGGGCAAAGTCGTAGTAAATACCATGAATCGTTAGGTGGCATCAGCTCCGTACCCCCTATAGTTCCTCTGACTTGAGCAGTCTGATGTAAATTTACACCAGGATGAGCAGGCCTGCTTCAGAAGTGTACAAATCTGTGCAGAATGGTGAGGAAGTCGCATCATTACTTTGTAGCTCCCTGCAAAGCAGTTGCAGACTGCTTTGGGTGCCAGGGCAGTTTTTCCCTTTGCCCACCACCTATGAGGGCATACAGCCTGGACCTATCCCCCAAGGCTGTGTAGGTGCTGGGGTTGCTTCTCCCTCAAGCCCAGCATAACCTCAGGATCTACAGCGGAGAGGGTGCGAGAGCAACATCAGGGCTCTCAGCCTGGGCCCTTTCTTTTTTCCATTTAATTGATTGTCTCAGAGGGAGCTCTCCCAGCTACAATCTCCAGGAGAGGAGATGGCAAGGGAAGGCTTCCTCCCTAGCAATCAGCGCTGGGATGGGAAAAAATATTAGTTTGACGGGCCTCTCTCTTCTGCCGGGTGACAGCTCCAGCTGCTCGAGCTGTCAGCTTGCGAGAAAGCTCCAGGCAATGTGGCCCCTTTGCATTTTTCCTCTGCACTGACGCATGTCAGCCCTGCAGCCACGGCGGAGGAGAGAGCCCGTGCAGTGCTGTCCTGCCCGCCGCAGGCTGCTGGCGCCCGGGCGGGAGGCTTTGGGCGGTGGTTTAAGGCTGCGCTACGTGTTATATGCCTGCATGCAAAGGAGAAATAACCACTAACGCTTGCTGTGGTCCCTCTGGCTGCCTGACCAGTGCAGAACTAATTAGCGGCTGCTCCAAGTCACGACTAATTAGAATTTTGATGTGTACATTTGGGGTTTATTTCCAAACCTCTAAAACAATCAAGGCTGGGTATGTGATGGTGTCAAGCACTCATCACCTGTGCTGGGAGCTGTGAGTGCTTTTTTTTAAGGTTGTTTCCACCCTTGATTAACCTGTAGTTTCAGCTTCTTACTGCTTCAGTTACAGCTTTTCAAGGTACTACTTTTTTTTATTTTTCATAACCAAACAACAGTGGAGCAAACCTCCTCATTTACCAATGTTTCGGCTGTTGCAGCGCCTCACTTAGGGTCCGATCTGGTCAGGGGAAGCAGGTACAAAAACGGCCCTTGACTTCTGCTGGCCCTGCAAGCGCAGCCTGACCTCTGTGGCGCTGGCTCTCCAGCGCAGGCAGGGCTGAGCTGTCCCCCCGACGCCTTCCAAAGAGCAGCCTTCATCCCCCTCCGGCCTGAGGCTGTGCTGCTGGTGCAGGTTTGGGACAGTCAGCTCGAACATCCTTCTTTCTTCTGCAGCATTTTCGTGGGTTTGGGGGGAAAAGGGACTGTGTAAATTCAGCTGATAGAAAGAATCTCCAAATACAACGGACAAGTGATGTTTCGTGCCATTGCCCAGCTGCCAGCCTTCGGTGGCTTCCAGCCAGAACACCCGCCTGTTCTTCCAGGGGATCCCCTCTGTCGCTGCTGAGGTCAAACCACATAGCCTTTGGGGTTTGCTCAAAGACGTAAGAAAAATGAAAGATCTCAATGCAGCTTTAACACAGCTGTCACTCGTTACAAAATATGAAATATTTTAACAGCTTATACCAAACACGACAAGGCACCAAAGGGCCACGTGATGTAAATGCAGTTCCAATCATTTGATCTCCTGCATCCTTAATGCAGTTGGTTGTTGTATCTGCATTTCAGACCATTGAACGTGTGTGTGTTTGCATAAACACAGCCACTGCTTTTATTTAATGATAATTTCTTCAAAATACACTCCCCTGAACATGCAGGCTCAGGATGCTGCTCGTATTGTATTTTCAGCCTGTCCTTGTGAGTGGAAAGCAGAGCATGTCAAAATGCTAAGCGGATTTACTGGTATGATTCTCTCTGGAATTTTATTACCTTCACATTTACTGGGAAAGAAAACAAAGATTTCCACAGACCTGTCATGGCTGATAGGTCAATTGGGGGGGGATAGGTCATGGCCTGTGTGAAAACTTCATGGGTCTTCTCAATTACAAAGCTTCAAAATCCTTAATGATCACACATGATATGTAATCCGTTTTTACATACTTGAGTTACACATTAAGACCCACCTTTCTTGTCTTTTTCTCATACGATAGAAACGTTTACCAAGTAAGAGCAATAGCCTCGTGCTTAGTTTGTCAAATCAGTTCCTCCCAGATTAGCAAGGGCAATAAGGGAAAAGGAAAACGCCATCGCAGTGCTGCGGGGTGCTGCTTTTCCACCGTGCACTAAGGGGGTGGGTGGCCACAGCCACACTCAAGGAGGAGTTCGTTAGGTGTCGCTTGCCCCTCGCTAACAACGGTTGGGTCTGGAGCAGCGCCCGGCTTCAGAGAGAGCGCAGAATAATTCTGCAGAGATCATGTCAAAAAAATGAACCTAGTTTCAGGATTCTGTAGTAGCCCTTTAAACGTGTGCGTGAACATGGTTAAAGGCTCGAAGGGTTTTCCTACTTGCACATGGGGATGGGGATGGGGGTGAGGGAAGGGCAGGTGCAGGAGAAATAGCAGTAGCCTACCGCCTAGTTTTATCAAATACTTTCTGTGGGAAATCTTCACAGCAGTGAGTCGCTGTCTCTTTCATTAAATTTTCAGTAGCGTTATAATACACAAATTATACCCTTTTTGTTGTTGTAGTTCTTAAAAGCAAACTCAGCAGCTTTGCAGCACATCAGTAAGGATCCCGTATCTTGTAAAGCTGTGTGAGGTACCTGCTGTACTCATTAAATGCTGTTGCTGAACACATTGTCAACTTGAAAAGATGATTTTCAACCACAGAAACACTGTGGCCTTATGGCGGGTTGGTTGGTTTGGGGGGGGAGGAAAAAAAACCTCTAGTGTTACTGCACCAGTGAGGGAGCTAACAGAGAAGATGCGTTTAGTTTCGGTTTTCTGCATGTGGTGTCCCTGAGGAGGGTTCAGCCAGTTTTGGTGAGGAGTTGGACCCCCCAGTAGTGCAGCTGCACGATGACAGCGCTGTATTGCTCTTGCCCTGGCAGAGGTCCTGCCCGTTTTCTCCATAGGAAGTCCAAGAAGATGTTTCGCCATCATCAGTACCAATATTGCTGTGCTTTGCATATGCTGAAGAGTGGGGAGAGGGAGTTACTTTGCTTTCGGGAGCGTTCATTGCTTCACAAGAAGAGAAACTGCTAAAAGATCTTTTTTTCCTAGAGCACATGCCCTGGTGGTGTATGAGAAACCAGATTTGTTCTGTTCAGTAGATTTAAAATAAAATAAGCTATCTATCTCTAGCTTTCCAAAAGGTAACTCTTCATTTAAAGTGTATTTTTATCTGTATTACTAACTGAATTTTTAATCCCCTCCTGCAAGGAACATATTTTAAAAGCTTAAGCCTTCATCACCGTAAAGCATTTGTACCTGTAAGGGACGGCAGAGGCATCTGATCCGTCATTCACGTGCGTCTTATTTGCGTGCAGGAGTACGACTGCCCATGATGTGCTTTTGCATATGCAAGTGACTTTCCGTTCGTGTGGCCCAATTATACGTATGTGGTTCACTTTCTGGATTTTTTTAACCTGCCCACAGTGTAATAGTGGTTTAGGTTTGAAATTGTATGACCACTAACAGCGTTGGAAGTGTAGCTGAAGTAAGAGGCTGCTGAAGTCCCACGATACTGTATTGGCAAGTTTGGCAAAAGTTGAAGGGAGATGATCATTCGTTCCAATTTTTGCCAACATTTCCTTCCTCTAGTTTTTCAATCAACAGACCAACAGGGGCAAGGAAAAAGCCTGTGGGTACCCATTTCTCTCCAGGTCCCTAAGGGTATTGAGGTGAACTTTCTATCATGAGTTGCCCTTACAACTGGTGCCCACTGTGTGCCGAGTTTGCCATGACGCCCGTGGCCAGTTTCCACTGTGCTGGGCGCCTGCGAGCAGCCGGCCTGACCTTCACACGAGCGCGACGGGTGTACTGTTCCTGTATTTATATGATTTTGTGTTCTCTCCCTTTAGATTAGAATATGTAATGGTCTCGTTACGGTAATTGCTGCAGGTAAGAGCGATGCTTCCCACAGGCCCCGCTGCTGCTGGCGTTGTGCTCCATCACTAACAGCTCTCCTCCTCCTCCTCTTCCTCCTCCTGTGCTCAGTGCGCAGCTGCGGTGGCTCTGGGGCTCTCCGGGTCTGTCTCTGCCTGTCCCTGTCGCCACTGCCCCATCTCCTCCCGCTCTCCGCACACCGAGCCCTGTGGGGTGCCCACTGCCCCCCAGCCCGCCCAGGCAGCTGCTGCTCCCTCCGGCTGCTGCCGGGCACAGCCGATGCCGGCACCTGCCGCGGTGGGAAGCGTTTTGGTCACAGCTGGGTGTTTGTGGCCAGGGCACCGTGGGACGGGATCAGGGACGGGGCAGCCACCGGCAATATGCTGGGTGCAACCCCTGGCCCACTGGTGGCGAGCGTCCGTGGGAGCTGCATGGCGTCACCTCCGTGCCGGTGCTCACCCGGAAACCAGCGCGACTTGCAGGATAGTTGCGGTGCAGCTTTTGGTGGGTTTTTTCCCCCTTTTTGCAAATTTCACATTTGGCTGAGTTGTAAATTTTAAGCACTCTGCTGGTCCACCTGTGAGTCAGAAACTAGTATTTTTTATTTACTACACCATTGCAGAGCTGCGTAATTTCACGTTGCCTGTGCACCCTCCGAAACAAACACACCAAGAGAGGGAAAAAACCCCTCCTCCACATCACTGCAAAAAGAAAAAGAACTAAGCCTCTCACGAGCACCTTAACATCAATACGACGCTGGTTTTCCCGGGCGCATGCCGGCGGGTGTGCGCAGCCCTGCTTCTCTCCCTAGCGCAGCTGAGCGAGTGGAGCCTCGTCTCTGAGCAAAGTTGCAGGCTCCCCTTGCAAGACGGCCAAGTAATTAGAGTTCGTGCCAGACAGCTTGCAAGTGGAATTATAATATTTGTATGAAAGCCTTTATCTTTTGTGGTTATTACTTGCTCACTCTGCAGCTGCTGTCTCCCTATCAATCAAGGCAGTTTCGGGGGAGCTTCAAGGTTGATTGCATAGCTAAGGACTCGCCAGAAGAAAGTTCGGACTGAAGGAATGTGCCGGCTCCTGAGGCGGGCGGATGCTGTGGGTGCTCCAGGAGCGAGGTGTGCCTGGCCTGCACCCCCGCCTGCCGCAGCCGCCCTGCTTTTCATATGCGCAGGCGATGCATTGTTCAGCGCTTGCATGAATATTGCTTGAACTTGTCCATTTGGTGAAAACTGTATTATTTTGACCATCTGCCATTCTGCTTAACTGCAGGAATGTAAAGTACGACACCTCCCTCACAGCCCTTCCCTCCCCCACGCTTTTCTCCCCGCGAACAGCACCGCAGGTTTTGTTTTTAATCCAAAACTGACAGCTCCACATTTTTTACAGAAAATGCCTTTACACGCTAAGTCACATTTTTCACCTTTTTTTAATGCGATATTTCCCCTTCAGTCAATTGTCTTGAAGTATAAATCTGGTAAGTAAAGATTGTCTTTGAAATGCAAACGCTGGTTTGCAAACTGGCTAAGGGATTTCAAGAGGTACTTTGGGTTTAGCTGCAACCAGACCTCAGCATTGTTCACTGCTTTGAGTCATTAAAATATCTAGAGTTAGCTAAAGCATGAGGACAAAGTTTTAACCCTTGTGAGGAAACAGAACACGATGCTGCCTGTGCCCAACAAACTCCATGGAGTTCCCAAGCATTACTCCCGAGAAGTAACAGGATCAATGCAAGCTGTTAAAATGCACAGAGTGAGGCTGCTGCAATGCCTAGTGATGGGGTGAGATAGGTTGTGTGTTGGCATGAGGTTTAAAATACCCCGAATCACTCGAGCCGGGTGTTGAAAACGCAGCTGAGTCAACTTGGGTCTTTGTCCTTAGAAGGTGGATCGAGTCCCAGGCGCTTTACTGCCTGCAGAGCCCTGCGGCCGAGACCTTGCCCACGGATGTCCTGTCTGCCTTGCTGAACCACAAAAATTTCCTGACGTGTTTCACAAGGGCAAGGCTCGCCCTGGTCATGAGTGAGGTTGTCCCTGCTCACCGCTGCCCGATGGGCAGCTCAACCATCGGCAGCTTCAGCCAAGGCACTAGCTGCGTTTTGGTGCATTTTCCGCACGTTTGAGAATCACCTGGGCTAATACAGTTGAAGGGAGTATTAAAGATACCCCTGTAATTGTCAATCACATAAACTAACAGCAAATAAAGGCACAGCCTGAAAATGTAGCTTATTGTTGAATGGGAAATAGGTTTGTGCTGCAAAATACAACCATCAGTCTGGAGTTGAGAGGTGGTCGCACAGCTGCTGAGACTGGCCCCGGCCTTCGGTGTGGGCTCGGAGCCTTCCTCCGTTCTCCCCACGGCCTCGCAAGCACCTGGGTGCGAGGCTGTTCCTCCATCCCGCCTCTAATAAAACCCCTTGTGTTAAGACTTAGAGAAAGAACTGTAACGTGGTTTAAAAATACTGTACCCCAAGGGAGCTGATGAAATGACATTCACACCGGGAAATGCCTTGGGACAGGTCAGAACCCCAGCAGCAAGAGCAGGGCTGGGTTGCAGCATGCGTGTTTGTATTCCTCAGAGCACCATTACAGTCGCGCAGGGGAGAGGCAGGAGCTGCACACGCGCACGCACCTCAGTTTATTCATTTATTTCTTAGTTTAATAGCTGTATCCTCATCTGTTCTCATTCAGACAACCTATTTAGTCCTGGCCCCTAGTCGTAATCGCCTGTGGGGAATAATTGAGATGTAACTTACATGTTGTTGAACAACAAAGCGTAAACACATGTAGACACCGCTACAGCCATCCAGGTTCCCCAGCCCACAAATAAAGTTCTTGAATGGTGGCCGTGAGTGCACCGATAACGATGGGTACTTAGTGTCCTGTTTAAGTAGTGGAACTAATTAGAAAAAAATTGGGATTCTTTGTTTTTTTAATCAGAGGCTAAGACGCCTTCCAGGTAGAGTTTCATGAAGGCGTTCACGCTATGGAAACTCATTTCCAGCTCTCCGTAGTAGATTAAATACAGAAGAGCTGTTTACTGACACACAGCAAAAAAAAATTTATATAACACACACTTGAAAGGAACATTTTTCGAGTTCCATTATGTGGGTTTTGCTGGCGCTTTGAGCGAGCAGGATTGGTGCATCTGCTCCTCCGGTGCGGGGCCGCTGCGGTGCCTCGCAGCGCCAGGCTGCGGGCAGCTGCTGGAGCCGTCGGCGCCTGCAGGGTCTGCGTGAACCGGCGCGCCTGGCCCGAAAGGGGCTGCTGCCGGGGGGGCTCTCGCACGCTTGCCTGGGCGCTGCCGACCGCTCTCGGCCTGGCCGCTCCTCACTTTTTCTGGAAGCTGGCAAAGAGAAATTCCTTATTTCTCCAGGAGAGCACAGTATGGCAGTTCCTCAGCTGCCTGGGCCAAATTTCTGCTATAAATGTCAAGTTCGCCTGAGTGATAGCCAAGATTAATTTGGAAGAGGAAGTGGAGAGGGGCTGCATTTTGCCAAGCAGTTATTCTGATGCAAAGACAGGCAGGTTGTTTCTTTCCTTACGTTATTTTTTCTCTGCCCGTTGTGTTTTCCAGGCTGCCTCACCACAAGCGCAAGCGCTGACCTTACTGTCACCATAGGAATAGAGTTAGCAGACCAGACCTCGCCCACATTACCACGTGCCTCGAAGAGCAGAGTCTCTGGGAAGCTTCGCCGCTCCGCCAGTGCTCTCAGCAAGTCTTCCAACTGAGGCGCTGCGGGAGCGGCACTCCAGCGGAGGGAACCCAAGAGACCTTAAAACAGATAAATTATTTACTCCGTCTATAGAACCTGCAATTTTGGATGAGCACATGTTGAAGGGGATGGGCAAGGGGTTTGCTCTGTAAAATTGCAGTTCTCGTGTTCAGGCAGACATGGCCGATGATCAGGTATCACCTGCATCATCGTCATGCATTTCACTTGATTGTTTCCGTCACAAAGAGAACGAGGGTGATGGGAGCTCTCACCGCTGGTGTCGCGTGGGGCTGATGGCAGCGCACACTTCTCCTCCCCGAGCACCTGTGCACAAGTACTGGTGTTGCAGCAAGAGGACACGAACCAGTACTGAAACCAGTTATTTAATGCAACTTTAGAGCATTGCTTTTAGTCATTCCGGTCAACACTTAATTGTGCGTTAGGGAATTTTGTCTAAATAGAGGTTTTCATATGACTAGCCACGTAACAAATGTTCCCCTCCTCTGGAGTGCGGGTGAATGATGGAGGTGCTTTCCAGCCCGTGGTCAGCCTCTGCTCCCCTTCTGTCATCTGTGCTCATCCAGCACCAGTTTTGTGCGTGTAGCTAAGAATTAGTAATCATCAAAGAGGTCATTTACCCGAAATTCAGGAGGGTACTGCCAGTTTCACAAAGTGGCAGCACCTGCGTTAAAATCTGTTTAATCATGGCATCTTGATCAAGGTCATACGTCACTACCTGTTGTGTAAAATCCCGAAGCCAAAGGTGCTCCACCCGCTGCTCGGTCGTGCCCAGTCCAGCACAGCAGAGCAGAGGACCGGGCTCCTCTCCTTAGTGCCCATCAGGTGCCCGCCTGCAGCAGAGGTGTGATGACTGGGGCGGCAGCATCCAGTGCAGGCGTGAGGTACCCGTTAGCGCTACTGCGCCAGCTGGGTTCAACCATTTACCTTCACGTCTTTGCATTTATTTTAGACAGAAGTCCTCTCTCCGCACTGGCTTTGGCTTCGGGATTGCTGTGTCATTTGCAATAGTGCATGTGATGGCTGCGTACTGTGAACTACTCACTAGAAAAATAAAAATAACCAAATTCCTTTTTGAAGAGCAAATGCCGCACGTTTGCCACGACTACTTCTCACCACAGTTTGAATAATTAGACAGTACACCTCTTAGGTAACCACCTCACCTTGTCACAACATCAGGGCAATAGCCCGCACCCTGAAGCATCTCTAGTTAGAATAAAATAAATCTGAAGGCTTTTGAGGACGTGCAGCATCCTCTTGGCACTTTGTGTAGTGAGCAAATCTTGTATTTTCAATAGGAAGTGTGTTTCAGTCTACGTGTATCGTAGGTTTCTAGGGGTGTTGACTTTTTATAGCTGAAAGAACCCTGTATTATAAAAACAAAAGAAATCTGAGAGACATCCTGCAAGTACTCGGTGTGAATGAGGATGGCCAGACTGAAAGCAGAAATCCGTCGATGCTCCACCATGAAGGGACTTGTGAGAGACACCACGCGCAGCAGAACGCGAGCCTCCGCCCAACGACTGCTGCAGGACCCGCCAGCGGCCGACGCTGGGGCTGGGCACCACGTTCAGCCTGGGCTTCCCTGGCCCTCCCGGCGCGCGTGGACGAGAAGAGGAGATGGCTGTAAAGCAAATAGTATTGTGTGAACTTTTTTTTTTTTTTTTTGATGTTTTGAACATCGGTGTCTGCCCATTCTCAAGTGTTGTGTCAGACCCCCTCCCGCCTTCCTAACCCTCCTCAGGTCTGGTTCGCATTGTTGCTTTTTGTTCTGTTTTGGTTTGGTTTGCTACTTGGCATTCAAACGCACACCTCTAAACTTAACGTGCTTTGGTTTAAGTGAAGGGGATTTGGTTTTCGGTGAAGCAAAAGGCACCATCGGGCCACCCTTTTTTTTTTGCACTTCTACTTAGGTGTTAATGTGAACGTCTCTGTTTGCCTGTCAGCGTCCAGCCCTGTGACCTCCCTGTAAATACGGGACACCGTTTTATAAATATTGCCAGTAACACTGAGGTAGCTCAGCGCTTTGCTATGGGCTCTGTGCAGTGGGTTATTTGGCCCGAGGGGCAGCCAGCTCAGCCCAAGGTGCCGCCGGGCGCCCTTGCTGCCCGGAGCAGGAGCTGGAGGCACTGAGCATGAACCTGGCTGGCACACCGGGACGTGGGTAACGCAGCCGTCCTGCTGGGAAGGAGCCTCATTTGCTAAGGGTTTTGACTGCCATTTTGATTTTCTGCCTCACATTTTGGTTTTGCTTTCTACTGATTGTGTGTCAGTAAAGGAAATTAGAAAATGAAATGTGTATTTTAATTTATTTTATTTTCAGGACTGGATAGGCGAGGCTGTCTTGTTCTTAGTTATCCAATAAATGGTCTGAAATAATTTCAAAGGCGTTCTTCTGAATAAAAGGAGACTTTTCTCATTAGAGCAATATATGTCTCTCATTCAGGGAGGAATTAAAACACGGATGAAAATAGCATTTTCCTGATGTCAAAAACCTAAAAATATTAATTTGTAAAAATTCAGCTGGTGTTTTGTACTATGAACTGGATAACAAAGCTGTTCTGTTACCCCTCACAAACTTAATAAATCTTAGCTCACAAGAAAAGTCTTAAAAAGAGCAATAAAAAGGTACGTACCGGCATGGTGTGTGCAGCGTCTGTGAGGCAGGAGGTGCCGCGGCCGGGCGGGCGCTCTGCCTTCCAACCGTCCGGTGACGCCGGCGGCCGGTGCCGCGCACAACCCC